GAATCTTGCTCTCATGTTTTCTGTTGGGGTATTTAAAATGGATAGCCCTTTAGGTGAGAAATATACTACCATAGACCCACTGGTTAAGTGGGGAAACAGAGGAATACTATTCAGCATTAAAAAGGGGGAAGCTCTGTTGTTTGTGACAACATGGATGAACCCGGAGGACATTATGCTAAGTGAAATAAACAGGCACAGAAACACTGCATGATCTAATTCATATGTGGTATCTACAAAAGTTGACCTCATAGAAGTAGACAGCAGAATGGCGGTTCTCAGAGGCTAGGGAGGGGAAGAGTAATGACGAATAGGAGATATTGATCGAAGGGTAGAAAGTTCCAGTTAGACAGGAAGATAAACTTTAATAATTTATTGCACAGAATGTGACTATAATAAATAATAATACATCATGTATTTTGAAATTACTTGAAGCATATCTTTTGAAGATTTTCACCAGAAAAATGACAAGTATGTGTTTGTTAATTAGCCTGACTTAATCATTCCACATTGTAAACATATATCAAAACATCACATTGTACCCCATAAATATATATGTTTTGTCAGTTAAAAATAAAGTTAAAAATATTTACAGACTCGATATTGCTTTATTTAGGCTTCTGTGCTTTTTAGTCATGCTATTCTATGTCTAACAAGCTAAAAAACAGATCAACCCCACATGTTTACAGATGGGAAACAATGGCTGTATATAAAAATGTGAATGTATTTGATTCATTTGTTTTTAGGTCTGAAAATTTCATTTTCTGATGATCTAATTTTTCTGAAAATGTACTTGCAGGTTACCAGAAAAATTAAGAGAAGTTATCAATGTAAGACTTTTTAATCACTGGAGATTTTCCTACAAGAGACTCTTGAATGTGAGTGCGTCTGCTTACTGTGTTAATTCTCCCATTCTTCATATTGTTTTTGTGCTTGGACACTCATGAAAACAGACAGGAAGCCCACATGTGAATTTATCAGGCTGTTCTTGTTCCAGAAGCTCTAAGAACAGGGGTGTAGGACTGAAAAAGCAGCTCCAGAGTATTGGCATTGTGTCCTCTTCCAACTTGTTGCTCTGCCTTTTTTACCTGGCAGATTTAATCTCATGGTCCAAGACAACTGCTCTACTTTTGCGTAGTGACTGGCAAGAAAGTGAAAAAAAGTATGGCCTGGAGATACTCCTTTCCTTTCTATTTCACAAAGGAAGTTCCACTTTTCACTCCTATGTTTGTCTATAAGCTTTTTCTCCATCTTCCTTTCATCCAAGTTTTGAGGATTATGCATTAATTGTTTTCCACTCTAACTTTCTGTAAGTCTTATTTTGCTAACAATGGTAGTAGGGGCCTATTTGAGGGTTTGGATTAAAGACAATTTAGGAGATGTGGAGATTCTAATATCAGAGGGAAGCTTAGGAAAAGCCATTGAGTTACTGTGTTGAACAAGGTTTCAAGAATATTCATGAGAATGTTAAAGTTACTCATTCAATATTTATTGAGTACCAGTTTTGGTGTGGCCTTGTACAAAATCCAGACACATCACAGCAATAATAGGTAGATCTTGCTCTTGAGATCCTCACAATCTGAGCTAACCTGCTTCTTGTTTTATCCTGCCAATAAAGGCTATGGTGCAATGTGTGTTATTCCCTCATTCTCCATTGTAGCAATAAAATATTTTACTATGTGTGTCCCTGTGGGCAGGGTAAGGAGATAACTATATGAGTCAGTCTGACATTGCATTCTAAATACTTTACACCCCCCCCCACCATGCCCCAGATTAGTTTGTCTTGACTAATGGAAAAGTTTCTATCTAAATAACAATTTGGACTTTATCAAGACAAACTTTAAAGAGTTGAAGACTTTATAATGAAGGATTACTGATTGGTTGAAATGATAGGTACTTTTTTCACTATTTTTATTTTCTTCCTTAAAAATAATATTTAAGTATAGCCTTTATAATAAAAGGGGAGGGCCGGGCGCAGTGGCTCACATCTGTAATCCTAGCACTTTGGGAGGCTGAGGTGGGCGGATCACCTGAGGTCAGGAGTTCAAGACCAGCCTGACCAATATGGTGAAACCCCGTCTTAAAAAAAAATAATAATAATAAAAGGGGAGGAAACCCTTTATTCCAAAAAGAGTTAAAAAATTATTCAATTTACACCCAGTTGAATTTAAGGGCCTCAAAAGTTAAAAGAAAGGCTGGGCACGGTGGCTCACGCCTGTAATCCTAGTGCTTTGGGAGGTCAAGGAGGGCGGATTATCTGAGGTCAGGAGTTCAAGAGCAGACTGGCCAACATGGTGAAACCATGTCTCTACTAAAAAAAAATTAACTGGGTGTGGTGGCAGGTGCCTGTAATCCCAGCTACTTAGGAAGCTAAGGCAGGAGAATGGCTTGAACCTGGGAGGAGGAGGTTGCAGTGAGCCGATATCGTGCCATTGCATCCTAGACTGGGCGACAAAAGCAAGGCTTCATCTCAAAAAATAAAAAAAGTTAAAAGAAAAATGAAAAGTAAGATACTCATTCTCTTGTGTTTTTCAAGTGATGATAAGGATGTAGTTTTGGCTTCAAGGAATTTAAAGCTTAATTTCTTAGATTGAGTGGGATGTTTTCCTCCAGAATAATTGTTGAAAGCTATGTAATTGTAGTAAAACTCACAACTCTTATGAAACATTCTTTTATTGTTCTATTGGCATCGTGCTGTGATTTTTTGTTTTGGGAGACAACACTTAAGAATATGAAAACTCTTCTACACCTTTGCTCTCATGTCAATAGGAGAAATTGTTTCCATGTCAACAGAGCAGTGAGTTAATGAAATCACAAACAGAATAATCATTTCTTAACATTTTCATGTACATCAGAATATTTTCTCTTCTTAACAGTTTTTATGAGACATTATCACTGTATCATATATGAATAAATCTAGGATAAGCAGAAATCTAAAATTAATATCTTATTTGTTTTTTTTAAACATTCAATTTATGTTGAAGCAAGGCTGTGGAAGGTCTTGCTTAGCAAGGCAGGAAAATTCAATTTAATTCTAAGGACAATGGGAAGTTATGAAATTTTTCTGAAGAGGAGCATGATAATATTGGAGTGAATTTGAGAAAGATTGATTCTGTGAATATTTATTCTATGTATTAGGCTGCAAATCCTAATGTAGGTAACCAATTTAGGATATTTCAACAGCAGAGATGTGAAGCTGTAAGAGCCTGAATTGGGGTGATATTAGTTGTGGTGACAGTAGTAGTCCCAGAGAGGAAAGAGAAGTTGAGAGAATTATTACTAAAGAGCTGCTTCTCACTGCAATATGGTGAAAACACTGGAATGTAAACTCGTTGAGAGCAGAGAACTTGACTTAAAAAAAAAAAACTTTTTAATTATCCCTGTGCATAGAATTATTCCTGGTATTGATTGGTACTCAATAAGTGTTAAACAAATTAAGATAAAAGCAATGTAAATGTAATAAAATGTAATATGTGCTACAACAGGAGTAGAAAAAAAATGGCTTCATAGAAGAGGAGATACTTGAATTGTGCCTAGTGGATTGAGCTAGAATGTTTCAGAAAGACAAGAAGCAGAGAGGACATCAAGGCAGGGGGAAGAGTCCAGGCTCTGAGGACTGAAACACCATGGTATGGGGGTGAGAAATCACTAACAATCACCAGCGGTTTGCCATTTCTGAAGCCTGCTTCACGAAGCTGGAAGGAGTAGAAGTTAGTGCTGGACTTGAAAAGCCTGCATATCAATATAAGGAGTTTTGACTTATAGATTTTTAAATAATTTAGCAGCATGAGGAAGTTTTTATTGTAGAAAGAGATCTAGTGGAAGTAAATAGAAGGTTTAGTAAGACCTCCTGTATATTTAGAGTAAAACCTTTGAAGCCAGAGTCAAATGAGACGGCTATTGCAACAATCTATAAAAGAGGCGATGAAGACCTGGATTAAGGAAGTGATGACAGGGATAAAGATCATGGCAAGGTTTTAAGAAAATATAGGTGTGGCCAGGCGCAGTGACTCACGCCTATAATCCCAGCACTTTGGGAGGCTGAGGCGGGTGGATCACGAGGTTAAGAGATCGAGACCATCCTGGTCAACATGGTGAAACCCCATCTCTACCAAAAATACAAAAATTAGCTGGATATGGTGGCATGCGCCTGTAGTCCCAGCTACTCAGGAGGCTGAGGCAGGAGAATTGCTTGAACCCAGGAGGTGGAGGTTACGGTGAGCCGTGATCGCACCATTGCACTCCAGCCTGGGTAACAAGAGCAAAACTCTGTCTCAAAAAAAAAAAAAAAAAAAAGAAAAGAAAATATAGGTATTAGAAAATAAAGACAGATGATGAATTAAAGGTGTAGGGCAGTGAAACAGGCAGCAGAGTCAAGGATGCATCCCAGGGGCCCAACTAGTCCAAAGGTAGTGCTATTACATACTGAGAAATGAAAACCAGGATGAGGAGGAGGAGGAGGAGGACAAGGAGGATGAGGAGGAGGAGGAGGAGGAGGAGGAGGAGGAGGAGGAGGGAGAAGGAAAATATGGCCTAAATTTTAAGCATAATAGCTTTGAAGTGTGAGGGGGGACAAGCAGCCGGGTTGGTTGGAGAGTGACCTGGGCCAGAGATATGATTTGGGGAGTCATTTGGGTCAAAATTAAGACATAGAGCTGGTTAATATTGTAGCAAGAGAGTGTGTTACCAGAAACAGATGTAGGTTGAAGATGAAACTCTGGGAAATACTCACATTTAATAGTCAAGTGGAGGAAGACAAATCTGCCAAGGAGAATAAAATTCAATGGCCAGGGTATCCGAGTAGAATCAGCGGAGCCTTTGCATCAGACTTAAGAGTTTGACTCACTGAAGGCTTTATAAATTTATTTATTTATTTATTTATTTATTTATTTATTTTTAAATTCTTTATTTTATTTTATTTATTTATTTTTATTGCATTTTATAGACAGAACTAGGAAGGGGGATTTCAATAAGGAGAAATTAGATCAGAAATATAATTAAGATTCAAGGGAGATAAACACTTAAAAATAATCATCGAATTTGAGAGATAAAGAGTGACAGGTAAACTTTCAGTGAATTATTTTATCAGAGTGGTGCAACTAGAAGCCAGATTTTAAATAAACTGAGAACTAATAGGTCACAATTCAATAATTACAGTCTTCCTCTAAACAGTCTATTATGAGATGGAGGAAGAAAGAGAGTGACAGCTAAAGAAAAAGTAAAGATTAGGGGCAGTGTTATTTTGTGTATTTATGGTTTATATAGATGGGAGCAATGTGAACATCCAAATTCTTATCACCAGCCTTGACAACCATCCCCTGGGCTCATAGTCTTATGTCCATATGAATATTTGATATATCTTAAAATTCTTCCAGGCACCTCAAATTCAACATTCCATCTTCTACTCTAAGCCACTTCTTCTTCCTATATTTCATACGACATTTCAATAAACCAATCTAGAAGCCCGTAACTCATCCTTCACTGACCACGTCAAATAAATGATTACCTTCTATATAGCTTGAATGCATATACATATCCCCCTTTCTATTCCCTGGTACAGATCCTAATCCTCTCTTAACTAGACTCCATCCTCCACCTTGTATCAGAGTGATTATTCTGGGGACTTTGGGCCCACTTGTCCCTTCTCTGCCAGACACTTTAATGGCTATCCACAGCCCCACAGGACAAAGACCCATACTCCTTAGCAAGAAACTCCAATGGGTGGCATTCTCTCATGAGCTAACCTCTACATGCCAGAGAGGACTCCTCTCCAGTAATACCTAAATGATGACAGTTCCCTGAACACAACTTCTTCTTACACTTTCCGTTGTTGCTCCCATTCTCCTCCTTTATCTAGAATATCTTTCTGTGCTTTCTCTAGTTAGCTAACTCCTACTCATCTTTCAGGGTTTTACCTAAAAATTATACTCATTATTTAAAGTCTTCTCTTAAACCCTCCCATCCTGCCCCAGTGTGGTTCAGTACCATTTCTCTATACTGCTATAGTGCTCTACATATGTTATAATCATAGACTTCCTCACACTGATTGAAGATGTCTATATGTGCCTGTCTCTCCTTGGATTTTGAACTCCTTGAGATCAGCAGTGATGCCTTGCTGCTTTTGTACCTTGTTATTTAGCATATCACCTGGTTCATGGTAATTGCTCAAATGCTTGTACAACTGCACTGAGCAGTGGAAGGGGAAGAGTAAAATTGCTCAAGAGAGGAGAATCCATACAAAGAGATTTGAAAAGATGTGGTTGAGAACGGAGTAAGGATGACACATCAGAGGACAACTTTGAATGGAAGAGAAGTCTTTAACGATGCGCCTAAGAGGAAGCTGGTAAAGATGGAGGCCAATGAAAGTGGTAAGAAATGAAAGGAGTTTCAGGCTGAAGGTTCAATTCTATTTGTTAAATAGGTTATTGGACAGAGTGACTGTTCAACTAAAACTTGATAAAGATGGTGGTGAGGAAATATATATGACACATTTGCTGGGAAATTAAATGCACATCTTAGATGCAAATACTCTGGAAACATTTTATTCTGGAATGTGGCATCTCCTCAGGCTAATTCATATACTTGAAATTCTTTTTCGAGGCAAAGTTTTAGATACATTTGTGGCATTTTCTTTGCATATGTGTGCAAATGCTTGCACCTGAAGATCTTTGCTTTTCTTCCAGGTTGCAGACTTGTCACTAGAGCTGGGATTGTTCACTGTGACATTACTGTGCATGGACTCCAGTGAAGCATGACTCACGGCAATGCTGCTCACGCTATGGGAAGAGTAACTGTAAATCATCTTGAGAAAGGCAGATTTTGTGTTAATCTCTTGCTTACAAATAATAACATAGCATTTGGGGAAGAATGTGCAACACAGGATTCCATAGTTAGATATTAATATGACAATAATCTCCACAGCTGGTAAATATTTGCCAAATGTGGTAGCATAGATAGGAATGAATGTGATCCAAGCTATGAAGTAAATGAGCATGCCAAATGTTATGAATTTCGCTTCATTGTAATTCTCAGGTAATTTCCTGCCTTTGAAAGCAAATATGAAGCAAATGAAGGCCAGGATGGCAATATAGCCCAACATGGTGCCAAATGCAAGTATGGATCCCTCCTCACACTCCAGGATGATGACTCTGGGCAAGGAGGCATTCACCTCTACAGTAGGTGCTGCAAAGATTAGCCAGAGTGTGCAAATGATAACCTGGATACCTGTGCAAGTGAAGATAATAAGGATCGGTTTATAGAGGCACTTCAGAAATTTCTGTAATTTGGGATCAAAGCTGAAGGCTAGCAAAATTTTTAGGGACTTCGTCAAAATGCAGGAGATGCAGAGAGTAAAGCTCACTCCAAACAGTGTCTGCCTGGTTTTACATGTGAAGTCTTGCGGTTCTCCAACGAAAAAGCTTGTACTGGCAAAATTGAGGAAATGACAGAGAAGGATCACGTAGCAGACTCTTAATCCCCCGGATGATTTCACAACAGGTGTGTTCAGGTTTCTTGTAAATATTATGCCAACAACCAGAACAACTATGATTCCCAGTAGCGAGAGGATCAGGAGCAGGATAGCCAAGGAGTCATTCCAGTTGAGATATTCCACTTCCTTTTCAAAGCACACAGTGCTCCTAACAGGGGCCCAGTGAGTTTCGTTGTTACATAATAGGCAGTGAGGCATATCTACAAGACAGAGGAGATGCAGGTACATTGTCAACATTTAAACTAGGTGGTAGTCCACAATACTACAAATGAGATTCCTCTTCCGTAATAGTTCTGACGAGAGAACAGATATAGATGATTGTCACATTGGTTACTTATTAAAATAAAACATGCACAAACTCAAAGAGAGTGAAAGAGAAAGGGTAAAAGTGAGGAGAAAGGAAAAGAAAGAGAAAAAAGAGAAAGAAAAAAAGCCAGCTGGATTGTGAATGTTTAGGAAATAAATATACTGACAATAGATGCTAACCTTTTATGCATTTGCTATTATATGTGACGGTTCCAGCACTCTTATTTTTTTGGGAGGGAGTCTTGCTCTGTTGCCCAGGCGAGAGTGCAGCAGTGGCGTGATCTCTGCTCACTGCAACCTCTGCCTCCTGGGTTCAAGAGATTCTCCTGCCTCAGCCTCTTGAGTAGCTGGAATTATAGGCGCCCACCACTATGCCCAGCTAATTTTTGTAATTTTAGTAGACACAGGGTTTCATCGTCTTGGCCAGGCTGGTCTTGAACTTCTGACCTTGTGATCCACCCGCCTCAACCTCCCAAAGTGCTGGGATTACAGGCATGAGCCACCGCACCTGGCCAGTTCCAGCACTTTAAGAATAAGGCTTTGGAATCAGACATAGCTTTCCTTATCTCTTCCACTTATAATTTCTGTAAACTTGAACAAACTAGCTGAACTTTCTGAGCCTACTTCAGAATCTCCAATCTCTCAACAAATAATAAAATAAAAAGATCCTGCCTCATTGGGATTCCATACTCAATGAGATAGTAAATGTAAAATGCTTCACACAGAGCATTACACACAGTAGACACTCAATGGGTGGGAACTGCTACAGTGAATAAAGGTGCAATTCTTTTAAAAGCAGAGCCAATATGGCTAGATCACTCTAAGAGCTTGAAGTGTCTTTTTAAAAGTGAGATAATGGAAAATTGTAATCAATGGCAATTGATGAAGAATTAAAGTTTATTTTTTTCTCCAAGTAGTGGGTAAATCTGAGCCTCTTGAACTGGGTAGTGGTGGTTAAAAGTATTTATGCTGATTCTGGCTGCAGGGAAGTACAAATAGCTGATGTTGTAGAGTTGTGTCTCTAGAAGTGATATTGCATTTGTTCCCCATTCCAGCCACTCAAAGTTGGTGAGTCCCAGCTACATCCAAAGGCCTCTGTCAGGGCCTTCATCTGAGTACACCCCACAGTGCCTGTACAACTCTTTAAAATTGTGTGTTCTTTATTAGCCTCAAAGTAAGGTTGTATTCATGTTTATAAACTTCATGATTCTTCCAGCCTCCTCCTCTTTCGGAACTCCATGCCCTTAAAAATATCTGTTCTTTTCTGCTTGCCCCATAACCACAGTTGCTAGTGTCTGTCATTTCATTTGTCCAGTGGTTGTTTATTAGCTTTATCTAGGTATGAGAGTTGTGTGTTAGAGACGTAGAGAGGAATAGCAGGTGGTATCCTTTGGGTTTTCCTAACTCCTAGCTTATCCTCCAATGTGTCTTCAGTCTTCTACATTTGTTTACGGAAGTGACTTACCCTGGTTACCAAAAGAAAACCCAGGTACAGCCTTTAAAGAGTCCCATTCATCTTTATGGAAAATAAACGTTACATACTCATTGGTGTTTTTATTTCTCTCATTTGGAAGATAATTGCTAGTTACCATGTTGCCTGAAAAACTCCTTCCCTAATTATCTAGTTTTTTAGGCAGTGGTGTAGCATTTTTATTTATTGATCATTTAAATGCTCAATTCCACTAATATAAACATTATTAAATATACACAGAGAAAGGGACATTTTTAAATGTGAGATAATAAAATGCAGGTAGATATAAAGTTCTGACACTCTCAGGTTTGAATAAATGGCATTTTTTTGTGACACAATAACAGAACATGAATCTTGGAATATTTTCATTGGTATACTTTTCTCCTTGAAGGCAATAAGCAAAAAGAATAGGTATTTGGGGACTATTCCAGTTTTGGAATTCTCAGCTTTTCTGCAAGGTGAATGGGAATGCTCCAATAAACAAGGAAATCTGATGCTTTTAAAGTAGGCTTTACTCCAGGGGAAGTGCTCATAGTTTCTTTTAAGGCTCCTAAGGCTGCTGACCTCACTCTTGTACTGTAATTTGTGTAATTTGCTTTCATCTTGTCAAATTTTTAAAGATATGGTTGGCAAACAATCAGTTACTAACATATCATCCCTGTCAATAGTTGGTCCCTTGCCTAACAGAAGTTTCTTCTAGGTTTAACTTTTGCTTCTTGGTAGATATAATACTATTTCCGGGATGTGCACACCTATTTCTTAATTTCAGGTGCCTCTGGGTTTCTATTATGTTTAGTTAATTCAATATTTACCTATTTGCATTTTTTATACCTCAGTTACAAGCCAAGCACATCTGTATAGGGATACATGGACAAAATTGACTTGCATCACTTTAAGAGTTGCATACTTTAGAAAGTATGAGTGAAGGAATGACATTTTCCCTTGGAAGTAAAGTAACTTTTACAACTCTATTATTTATTGGTTGTGCACCTGTTGATACAGTAGCGCAAATTCCAAGATAAAATGAAATTTCACTGGAATTTAATTTTACAGGAGCACAGGAAGCTTTTTCAATTTTTTTGAATGAAATAACAAACCAAAATAAAATTCATGCAAAGAAAAAAAAAGCCTCAGAGGAATGGTTCAGGTATGTCACTGTCCGTGTGGAGTGACTGTAATTACCTGTCTGATTACTGTAGTGATTTTCAGGACAGTTCTCACATTCATAGCAACAGATGTGTTGACTTCTTGTAGTTTTCTTCATTTGCCCAGGACTGCATTCTTTGGAGCATTTAGATTGAATTTTCTATATTAAAAGTGAAAAGAAATCACAAGTAAATTTGTAAAAAGAATTATCCTAATCACTTATCCTTGGCTTAATTTAAAGATATATTTACTAAATACTATTGTGACTTTTTTTTTCATAGGATTATAGAATCTTTTTGCCATCTTGAAAAATGTAAACAAGCTTTTAGGATGGAGAAGTTGCTTTAAGAAGAACACAGGTTTTGCTGCATTAATAACTTCTGTAAGCAAATTATGGAAATTAGCCCTTTCAGAAGTCCCTAGCAGAGGGAGAAATGCATAGTAATAGAACTAAAGAATAATGGTTTGGTAAGTTTCAATCCCATGTTGAATGAAGGGTTCCACTAGATAAGAAAATAGCAAATGACTAGATTTTTGCATTCTTTAAAAGAAAGTTCTTGTTACTCTGTGAAGGAGCATGTCCTGTCAAACTCTAAAAAAAAATAAGAAAAGAAACATATTTAGTTTAAAATAAAATTTAAAATTTAATATTCTCTAATTTAATATTAGAATATTAGTTTTAAAAGACAGCTCTAAATATAGAAATAATATTCAAATCATCTTGAGAATTCAAGTTATAATATGCATGTCACAATTTGAATCACATGCAGCATTCTACTTTTATGGAACTCTAGCTAGTTGCATTTTGGCTATGTTATTATTTTCCATTTATGGGCCCTTTCTCATGGTACATCTTGTGAGAAAAATCTACTTTATCATGTCAATTTTACCCTTGGAGCAGAACAGAATGGTTAAATGAATCTTTCTCAAGATTCTTTTATCAGTTATTTCTTACTCTGGAACATAATTGAAGTACTAAACTAACCAGTCTCTCTCTGGAAGATGCAAATAATCTGTCTGAGAGAGAAAAGAAAAGATTCAGTATCCTGGATCTGCAAGCACTGGTTTTCTTTTTCTCTCCAGTTATTGCTGACCTGGGTCTTCAGCAGGCAGTGTATATGCCTTGTGAATTCCCCACAGCAAACTTTTAAAGTATTCATTTTCCTAGAGGGAGCTCAGAGGGCACAGAAAAATTTAACTATGAGATAAAGCCAGACATTGTTAGGGTCCCTTCTCTCCCTCTGCATCAAGAGCAAAGACGCCCTAAAATATTGTATTGATTACTTTAGACTTCAATTGATTTAGGATTATCTGATGTTTTGTACTATGAGTTTTGGTGATTTACCAGAAATGTAAATAGCCCAACCGGCATGCAAATTGACAAATCCTAAAATCTGACCTAAATGATCTCAGATGTTGTTGATTTTTTTTTTTTTTTTTT